TGAGCAGATCCACAGAGCTCAGGCTCTCTTTGTAAATGTTTGCCAAATGAAAGGTTTGTCAACAGGTAATGATTAATCACCTACTGTGTTCTCAGCCCTGAGAATGTTAAGCCTCTAAGATAACAGTCCATGCCTCTGAGCACAATTTTTTTTCTGTGCAATCAAAAACCTAAGAACCTAAATAGTATGGAAATGCAAATCAAAACCACAGTGGATACCTCTTCATACTCACTAGAATAACTATACTGAAGAAGAGAAGAGAAGAGAGAAGAAAAGAAAAAGAAAAGAGAAAGAAAAGAAAAGAAAAGAAAAGAAAAAAGAAAGAAAAGAAGAAAAGAAAAGAAAAAAGAAAAAGGGTAATAAGCGTTGGCAAGGATGCAGAGAAATCAAAACCCTCATACATTGCTGGTGAGAATGCAAAATGGTACAGCCACTGTGGAAAACAATCTGGCAGTTCCTTAATAAACCGAACAAAGAATTACCATGTGGCCCACCAATTCCACTCCTACTGAGGTATACACCCATAAGAATTGAAAACAGGGGTTCCCACAAAAGCTCACCCATAAATACTCAGAGCAGCAGTATTTACAATAGCCAAGAGCTGGAAACAACCCAAATGTCCATCAGCTGATGAATGGATAAACAAAATGTGGTTTTATCTGTATATACTATGGAATATTATTCAGCCATAAAAAGTAACGTAGTACTGATACATCCTACAACACGGACAAAACTGTGCTAGTGGAAAAAGCTATATACAAAAGACAACATATTGTATGATTCTATTTCCATGAAATGTCCATATTTATCTATTTTTTTAAAGATTTTATTTATTCATGAGAGACACACACAGAGAGAGGCAGAGACATAGGTAGAGGGAGAAGCAGGCTTCATGCAGGGAGCCCAATATGGGACTCAATCCCGGGACTCCAGGATCATGCCCTGAGCCGAAGGCAGATGCTCAATCGCTGAACCACCAAGGGGTCCCCAGATTTATTTTTTATATATGTAATATATGCATTCATATTTCTGTATAGAGAAACGTAAAAGCTATTACCAGAGATGAGGTTGTCAATGTCAAATACCATGTGGTTCTACTGGGCATTCCATCAGATGGCCTTTCTTCTAAGAGGTGGAATCAGAACATGTGAGCCTGGGAGAAGTTGCTAGAAATTGGTGCATGTGCTTATTCTAATTGAGTTCAGAAAAGAAATACCACCAGTCCCATATATTGATATATCAGTAACCTCATTGCCAAATATATACATATATTTTACAGGACCCTAAAGCTATTTATGTGTTATACTTTGGGTTACACTTCCCACTGTGTTTTTTTAAATAGTGTTATTATGACTCATGTTCAGTTTCCTATATTCTATAAATCCACCCACTTCCAAGAAGATTTTTAATCATGTTCATCTATCTAAAAGCCTTATAGTTGGAAAGTTCTTTTTTTTATCATTAAGGTATAATTGATACGTAAAATTATATTAGTTTCAGGTACACAACACAATGATTTGATATTTGGACACATTGCAGAATGATCATCACAGTAAGTCTAGCTAACATCTAATGCCACACACAGTTACAGATTTTTTTCTTTTAATGAGAACTTTTAAGATCAACTGTCTTAGCAACTGTCAAATGTACAGTACAATATTATTAACTGTAGTTACCGCGGTGTACATTGTATTCCCAGCACTTACTTATCTTATAACTGGAAGTTTGTATTTCTTTTTCCTTTAAGATTTTGTTTGTTTTAGAGATAAAGAGAGTGGGAGGCAGAACAGAGGGAGAAGGACAAGCAGACTCCCCACTGAGCACAGAGCCTGACACAGGTCTCAATCTCACCACCCTGAGATCATGACCTGAGCCTGAATCAAGAGCCAGACACCCAACCAGCTGAGCCACCCAGGCACCCCTGGAAGTTTGTACTTCTGATCACCTTCACCCATTTCCCTACTCCCCCATCCCCGGCTGCAGGCTACCACCAATCTTCTCTATGAGTTTAGTTTGGGGGAGGGAGGTTGATTTAATATATAAATGAGATCATGTGGAATTTGTCTTTTTCTGTATGATTTATTTCACTTAGCATAATGCCCTCAAGGACCATCCATGTTGTCACAAATGGTAAGATTTTCTTCTTTGTGGTTGAATACTATACCATATCTTCCTTATTCACCCATCGAGAGACACTTAGATTCCTTCCGTGTCTTCTTGGCTATTATAAATAAAACTGCAATAAACGTGGAGGTGCAGAGGGTTTTTTAAGTTAGTGTTTTGTGGGTTTTTTTCCCCAATAAATACCGAGAAGCAGAATTGCTGGATCATAGGGTGGTTCTATTTTTAATTTTTTAAGGAACCTCCATACTGTTTTCCATGGTGGCTGCACCAACTGGCTGCACCAACTTCCATTCCCACCAACAGCACACATTCCCTTTTCTCCACATCCTTGCCAACACTTGTTATTATTTCTCATCAAGTTCTTCTTTCTTAATGATTGTTTCCTGCACTTGTCTGCATAAAAAAAAATTTTACCCTGTTGAAGTAGATACTTTTGGAGATGTCTTCCCAGCTCAGTAACCCCCTTTTATTAAGAGTATGTCCATCTCCAGGAAGCAACTCTATCTATGATTGATAACTCCACTGCACTGGCCATGACCAGAGGTGAAGCAGCAGATTGGAGTGGGCATTCAGAGATGAATGACCACCTTTTGGGTGAAACGGAGGTTACGGAAAGTGATGAGCAGTAGCTGCCATCATGGAAAGCCATTCTCATCCACATGCCAGGAGAAGCAGAGAAAGTGGGCATGTAAAGAGAAGAAGGGAACAGATGTGCAAAGGTAGAGAGGAAAAAAATGATCTGGCCAGAAAGACACAAAGAATTAGATAAGAGACTGAGAGGGAGGTAGGGAGGAGAGGATGCGGGGAAGGAAAGAGGAAGGGGAAGGAGGGAGAGGGGGAGGAGAAAGAGAGAAATTAATAGTTCCTGACAGTTTTTCAGTTCCTGGTTCTTGCCTATTGTGAGATATACTCCTGCCCTTGGGTTCTGTGAGATTCTCTGGATCTTTATGAAAGTTCTCTTGACATTTTATTCTGTTGCCTAAACTAGCATGAATGTGTTTCTGTTACCGATGAACAGAAGACCATTGACTAAGACTGCTACAACCTACTCCTCTGTCTCGTTTTGAGCCCCAAAACAAAAGAATAGACCTTGAGTCTTTCTGAATTAATGAAATGTAGTTATAGACATTCAGATCTGGAATCATCTGACAGCAGCTTCTGGTTTAGCAAATTCCCTGGATACACGCCTTTTCCCAGAGGAATCCACACCCTCCTAGGAGTTCTAGAGTAATGATCTGGGGACCCCTCTCTAGAGGATGAGCTAATTTAACCAGGTCCTAACAAGCCTCAACAGACAAGTAAAAATAGAAGCAGAACAATAATCTTCATCGGAAATGGAAAAGAGAAAAATGTTAAAACAACTGTTTTGCCACCTTAAAATCTGTGTTTCTCTCTCAGCAGCACCAGTGAGATGTTGGTGAAAAGGAAGTTTTGTGTGTTTTACTGAAGGAAGGCAACACAAATGCTTAAAAATAGGGAGTAGGAGAAACCGTTTTAGTTGAAGGTAAGGACAAGGAGGGGAATGATTGGACAACATAGAATACTTGAAATGTTTGAAAAAAGAAACTTAAAAAAACAACCTCAAACTATGTTTCTTTGACATATAGAAAAGGAAAATACTTACCAGGTGAATTTGATCAGATAGACATGTTTTGAAGGCAAATGTAGCCAAATGGCGTAACCCAGAGCTTCTTCAAATTTTATTTATTTATTTTTTAAAGATTTTATTTATTTATTCATGAGACACACACACACAGAGAGAGAGAGAGAGAGAGAGAGAGAGAGAGAGGCAGAGACACAGGCAGAGGGAGAAGCAGGCTCCATGCAGGGAGCCCAACGTGAGACTCAATCCTGGGTCTCCAGGATCATGCCCCCGCGGGCTGAAGGCGTCGCTAAACGGCTGAGCCACCCGGGCTGCCCCTTCTTCAAATTTTAGATGCAAAGTTTTTAGAGGAATAACAAAAGAAAAAGTGATTTTGTAAAAATTAAGATTGACAGATTCAGAAACAAAATATGGAATGAATTTTTCTGGCCAGAGGGCAGAAATGCTGGAGTAAATCTTTCTCCTAAGCCTTATGGGGTATTTGGGTCACAATGATTCCCTTATATAGAATTTTAATTTTTGCTGATCTTCCAATTTAACTTTTTTTTTTTCAAACTCTAGTTGCAACGAGACAAACTTTGGCACACATGTCTAGCCTCCGTCCTCCCCACCCTGCTGCCCAGGCATCTCCTTTCTTAAGTGTTTTGGGAAAGGGAGGGGATAGCTCTCATCCCTCCTGTGTTCACCTCTTGGGTACTGCTTCTCCACATCCTGGGCTCCTTTTATCTCCCTCATCACCTCTGTGACAAATCACACACTTCTCTACTGACTGCCACCTCCTGGGCCTTGGGGTCTACTGTCCCTCTTGATACCATACGACTGCCATGGGCTCAAAGGGTGAATGTGGAACCAGCCACACTCCCCTCTCTGCCTGATTCGTCTTAGCATATACCCACCAGGCTGTATGGATGAAGCGGATTTGCTGGAAGGGAGGGCTCATTAAATGGACTTACAATGTGGAAGTAAATAAAAGGTAAAATTACATGGAAAAGTCAGCCTTACACTAGAATAAAAGCCACAGAGGACTTAGAACAGAGGTGGGTAGAAGACTTGGCTTGAGCCAAGTCTAGGGTGTGCTTGGCAAGACCAAATTGGGCTCCTGAGACCTCCCAGCCAGCATGGGGTTCGCATATGCCTTCTCGTCTTAACCAACACACATCTCCCAAAGACAATCAGTGGTTCAGAGATGGAAGTCAAGCTTCTTCGTATAAAGAAGAGAAACATTTCTCTGCATGCAGTGAGGACTACACAACTCTCCACTCACCAATGGGGATTCATTTTCACCTTCCTTCTGCTTCCAGAGCCAGAACAACGAAGGGTCTTCAGGAAGCCCTTATGTTTCTTCACCTTCAGGCAGCATGAAAGACCTGGTCGACGTTCTGGATGACGACTGTCCTGTACCTGGAGCCTGAACACATCCCTACATGGGATGCCTCACGGGACTCTGTCCAAACGGGAGAGAGGCAGAGTGATTTATCATCTTCCTGTCCAAGCGACTGACTTTCTCAGTTGCATTAGGGAAACCAAAGCTTAAGTGACTTGTATAGATGCACTTTCCAGGACTTATTTCCACGGCTTTACCTGTCACACAAGGCTTGCTTCAGCCTTGTGCAAGACTTTTCTCTCTAAATCTGTAGTTCTCAAAAAGGGGCAATTTGGTCCTCCAGGAAACATTTAGTGATGTCTGGAGACTTTTGGTTGTCAGAGGTTGAGCAGACTCCGAAGGAGAGGCCGCTGGCATCTAGTGGGTAGAGGCCAGGGATGCTGCTAAATACCCTACAACACACGAGGCAACTCCCCACAGGAAAGATTTATCCAGCTCCAAATATCGATAGTGCTGGATAATTGAGAAAAGCTCATTGAGACAAGAGAAACTCTGCTTTAAGTGCCTGGAAAAAATGAGGTTTTCCTTCATCTGTGCCAGTATTCACTGCCCTCATGTAACTCCTGAATTTTACTTTTAAAATTCATCAGCTGAGGCACCTAGGTGGCTTAGTCAACTAAACATCAGACTCTTGATTTTAGTTCAGGTTATGATCTCAGGACCATGAGATGGAGTCCTGTGTTGGGTTCCCTGCTTCTGCCTCTCTCTGCTCGTTCTCTCTCTCTCTCTCAAATAAATAAATAAAATCTTAAAAAGGAATTCATCAGCCAATCTTCCAACAAATCATCTTCCAGAAGCTGATCAAGAGTAATAATGACCCTTGCTGTGTGCCAGGTTCTGGAACAAGGAGTTTACATACTTTGTCTCACTATTGTCCCCATTTCTCAGAAAGAAAATTGAGGCTCCAGGCAATTGAGTTAGTTGCAAATGTCCATAAAACTTAAAATCTCAGTGGTGAGAATCAACCCAGAATTCCAAAGTTTCTGCTCTTTAACTCAATGCCTTTATTTCTTTTCTTTTCTTTTTTTCTCAAATAAGTTCTACGCCTAATGGGGGAATCAAACTCACAACTTCAAGATTAAGAGTCACATGCTCTACCGACTGTACCAACCAGGCACCTAATTCAATGGCTCTCTAAGGAAACCAACAGTATTCAATTCATTAAGCAATTGCTTGATACCCAGAATTCTATTTTTCATCATGAGAATTTTTCATCTTCTAACAAAAAGTACTTATTACATAAATATAACTTTGTAATCATCATCCATCACTTAGAACAAGCTTCACAGACGGATTTAAAAACACAGGCATTTTTTAAACTTCCTGTTTTCCAAGACAAGCTATGTATTTTATTTATATATTTTAGTCTCAAATTTAAGGAATCTTTTTATTTTTGGAACTTCCAGAGTAATGTATAATAATGCTTTAAATGGCAGAACCAGAAGCTTGCTTTTTTCTTGAGGTCGCCATATTAAAAAACAGGAAAAAAAAAGCAACATTTTATAACATTTACAGGAACATATGGAATTTTCTTTATCCATGTGCCTGTCTCCTTCATTGTCTTATGTACTCTTTTCAGTGTTACATAGCAAATTAAAACCAACTTAGTGACTTAAGACAATAGCCATTTATTAGCTTACAGTGCTGTAAGTCAGTAGTTCCGGCACAGCCACCACATGAGTGCATTCTCTGCTCAGGGTCTGTCAAGGTTTACATCACGGTTCGGTCAGGCTGAGTTTTCGTCTGGAGGCTCTAAAAAAAACCCCCACTTTCAAACTCATTGAGGTCATTGTCAGAATTCAGTTCCTCGAAGCTGTGAGACAGAAATCTCACTTCCTTGCTGACTGTTGGCCAGGGTTTGCTCTCAGCTCCTACACTCAGCTGCCTGGTCCTTGCCAGATGGCCCCTTCTATCTCCAACATCATCAGTGGAGAATCACCTTGATGAGGAATCTACCTCATGCTTTGAATCTCTCTCCAGGAAAAGCCCAGTCCCTTTTAACACCTCACCTAATTAGGCCAGGCCCACCAGGGACAACCTCCCTGTCTTAAGGTCGACTGCTCGGAAACCGTAATTACATCTCTAAAATCCCTCACAGCAATACCTAGATTAGTGTTTGAATGATTGGGAGAGGGTGCATGTATACCAAGCAGGCATGGATCTTGAGGATCAACTTGGAATCCTGTCTAGTTTATAGTCTGTCCTTGGTGGCAAAAATTGAGCCTTGTATAACCTGGTACCCAATAGATGCTCCATAAATGTTCACTGACTAAATTGTTTTCAAAGAATCGGGAAATTCTGAAATCAGGGAATTGTTACATGGAGACACTAACTTCAGGGTGAGGACAACTCCCATCAGGTAAAAGGTAAGAGGCAGTGCCCAGGATGGTTTTGAGCTGATCACCGTCCTGACCTCTGCCTCTGCTGAAAGATTATGTGGAGTTTCTACTTTCAATATGGGAATGCAGCTTTGATTTAGTAAGGAAAGTCAAGGGAAAAAAGAGTCCCTATCCCAGAAATGTGCAAGAGAACAATTTTCCAGAATCACACCCATTCTGAAGGGTGTGTTCAGAGGGTTGACGGTATCCCCAGCTTTCCTTGGCTAATCTGCCAGCCCTTTCAGGGTGGAACTACACATCGTTCATATTTATATCATGACCTGGTTCAGAAGACCAACTTTAAAGACAAGAGCTGATTGAACGTTTGTAGAATGAATGCTATTTAACGTGTCTCTGCTAGTCGTCATTCAATTCCTGTGGGCGAGGGCTCTTCCGATGCATTTTTTGCAATCCGGTAATGCCTGTCCCATTCCTGGCAACCAATGAGCATTCAACAGGTGCAATCACTGAGCTGTGCACACTTGTTTTAAAATGTACTTTCTCCTCTCCAAACTTGTAGTTGGTCATTTTAAGTCATGCAATATGAATTGAAGGTAAATAATATTCAAGCTAGTCTTAGGAGGCTTATTTCTAAGAAATATTTAGATTTATGTTCAGGGGGGGAAAAAAAGACCTCCAAAACCTATCCTCTTCCTTTCAAATGGATACTCCCATCAGTGTCTAGTCAATGTATTTAGGGGAAACATTTTTTTACACCAATCGGAGGACAGAGCTCTGATTTCTGAAAGAGAAAAGCGGTTTCCCTCAGATTTTCTCAGCTCCTCCATTGTTAGCCTCAGACAAGGTCCAAGTCATCTGCAATTCTGCGGGCGTCCCCTGCACTTAAATCGTATTCGGGAAAAACACTTTGCCCGACAAGGCCTGCTAACCCCCAGCAAACGCAAGCCGGGACCGGAGCTCCCCCACCACCCCCGCTTTACTGGAGCGGGGAAAGCCGCGGAGGTCGGGTCCGCGCTGTGACGTCACCGGGCTGGCGGACCGCGGCGCTCCTCTCCGGTTCCGGTGATTGGCTGGGGCGCATGACGTCACGGAACGGGGGCGGGGCCGGACTCGGGAGGACTCCGGGATGCTCCGAAGCTCTGGGTTCGCATATTTATTAAAAAAAAAAATAGAATAAATAAAAATTAAAAAAAAAAGGTGGTGGGGGCGAACCGAGGAGTCCGCCCCGCCCTGCCCGCTGCAGACCGCGCCGCCCGAGAGGGACGGGCCGGGGCCGGGGCCGGGGGCGGGGCTGAGGGCGGGGCCGGGGGCGGGGCCGGGGGCGGGGCCGGGGGCGGGCCGGGGCTGGGGGCGAGCCGGGGGCGGGGCGGGGGCGGGGCCGGGCGCGGCGCCGCGCCGTCCAGGCCGCCGCCCACTCCGTACACACAGCATGTAAACAGTCCCCGCCGGGAGGAGCCCCGGGACCCGAGGGAGCCGCGCCGCCCGGCCCCGCCGCCTGCCGAGAGCCCGCGGAGCCGCGCGCTGCCCGCCCGGGAGGAGGGCGCCCGAGGAGCGAGGAGGGCGGGCGGGAGGCGGGCGGCGCGCAGGAGGCTGAGCGAGCGGCGGGCGCGGCGGGCCAGGATGGATTTCCAGCAGCTGGCTGACGTTGCGGAGAAATGGTGCTCCAACACGCCCTTCGAGCTCATCGCCACCGAGGAGACCGAGCGCCGGATGGATTTCTACGCCGACCCCGGCGTCTCCTTCTACGTGCTGTGTCCGGACAACGGCTGCGGGGACAATTTTGTGAGTGCGGGGGGGGGCGGGGAGGGCCGGCTGCAGCCGCGGGAGTGGACGCGCGGCCGCCTCCCTGCGCCCGAGCTCCGGCTCGCGGGCGAGGCTGTGGGCGCGGGGTGGGGGCGTAACCGGCCCGGCCGGCGCGGGTGCCCTTAGGGCCGGGGAGCCGGGCGGGGCGGGCTGTTTCGGGGACGCGACCCCGCGGCCCGGGCTCGGGGCTCGGGGCTCGGCCGGGAGCTTGTGCCGAGCGTCCCCGCCGCCCCCCAGCCCGGGCCGGGGCGCACGATGGTCCCGCAGGGCCCGGAGTCCCGAGCTTCCTGCCCCCAGGCGCCCCGTCGGGCTGAGGAATCCCGCTCCCCTCCCGAGGCGCAGACACAACTCCTCGAGCTGTCCCCGCCCGGGGGAGCCCCCGGCCCCGGCTTACCCCCTGCGCTGCCGCTTTGGACACAAAGCCTCTGTCCACACTAGCCGTGCCCCCTCTCCAGGACCTTCTTTGCGGAATTACACCCCAGATCTTAAAGACGCACGGGCGCGTGCGCGCGCGCACACGGACACACTCACACACACGCGGGCACGCCTATGCCCCCTGCTCCGGTGCTTCCAGGGCTCCTCTGCGAGCTCCCCGCGGGGTGTGCGCGGCCCGAGCGGGCTCGGTCCGGCGGAGGCGGCGGCCGAGGCCCCGGCGGAGTCCCCGGGGGTCTCCAGCCGCGGGGACATCCCCCCCACGCCCGCCCCACGCCCGCCGCACGCCCGCCCCGGGCTGGGGGCCCCGGGACCTGCACCTGCGAGGTGCAGATCTTCCACTTCGTCCCCTGCGCCCACTTGGGACCTTGGCGCTGGCAGTTTGGGAAGGGGGTGCGGCGGGCAGGGGCGATGGGGCGGGAGGGCCGGGGAAGGGGCGCGGGGGCGCTCCCCGAAGTGTTTGTGGGGACGGAGGAGAAGATCCCGCTCCCCAGATGTAAGATGGAGGCGGCCGCGGGCTCGGGTCACGGTGCGGTCGGCGGCCCGAGCCTGGAGCGGGCGCTGCCGCGGCCCCTGCGGACCGAGGCGGGGCGGCGGGGCGGCGCCGCGGCGCGGCCTGGCGCGGGCTCCTCAGGTGGGGCAGACAAAGCCCGGCCCGCGCGCCCCCGCCGCGCCCCGCAAGTTGGCAGCGCGCTCGGAGACGCGGCGACAGCACCCTCCTGGGCCCCCGAGAGACCGAGGCCGTGAGTCGCGGGGAAGGCAGCGCCCCCGCCGCGCGCTCCCCATCCCCCCGCGGGTGAGGGGAACACACCTGGGCCGCGGAGGGGCGACGCGAGGAGACAGATGGCCCCGGGTGACAGACAGCCGGATTGGGACTCGGATCAGAAGCCTGGGGGCGGCTCAGTTTACACACCTGAAAAATGGGCACAATACCAGCCCCGCCCCCCTCCAGGTGATCCCTAGATGAAACACCTGCGCAGCAAGGGCGCCCCAGACACCTGGGCTTCCCCGGAATTTGCACCTCTCTCTCCTCTCTCTCTCTCTCTCTCTCTCTCTCTCTCTAAGAGCTTCAATTTTCTCACCTGTAGAATGAGGTTAATGGGAACACCTCCGTCACAGGTACTTGTGAGGAGAGAGCCCTGCTTTCTGTAGTTGAGTGAGTGTTCTTTGTTATTGGGGGAAAACGGGAGATCCTTACAAAGGGATGTGCTCCACTGCCAAGGCGAGAGAAAACCCCGGGGGTATACTGGAAGGGGCTCCAGTGTCCAACTAACTACCACCTCGGGATTTGATTAGAAGTCCCTTCTAACCCGAGGCCGCAGGTGGCATTTCCCTCCGCCTACTGTGTGAGATAGAGCAAGAATCACCCAAAGTTCTGGATTTTATAGGGGAGAGTTCCACACAGCCTTCCTGCCCGAACTGTGGGAGACGTCCCCAAAGAAACTACCCCAAGGAGAACCATCGTTGAGAGACCTTGTGACTTTTTCAAGCCCGTTTATAATAGATTTTAAAGGTTTTCCCACCTGTATGAGTAAAATGCTTAAACGTATTCATTCTCTAACAGATGAAATAGATAAGGAAGAAAGTAGATGAGAGGAAAAAAACGATTTCTTGGGTAGATTGGAACATTCTTAAAGTGTCTAGAGGCCGTCATGGAGAGGATGCCAACCACCAGAGTTTTTGTAGCCCAGGTCTCTGCTCAGATCTCTCCCAGGCCAGATTTGCCAGGCTGCCATTTGCCCTAGTTAAACATGAAGGGACTCGGGGGTGAAGTAAGTGTCCTACCTCCATTCCCTTTGCCTTTCCCAGGAAAATCCTGTTAAGAATTAAAAGAAATTTAAGATGAATGGAACTCCTGTAATATGAAGGACTTATGAACAATATTTGCATAGTACTTCTCAATTTACAGTGTTTTCACGTGACTCACTCATTCATTCATTCATTCATTCACACATCAAGCATTTATTGAGGGCTTACTTTGCACCAGGCCAGGGCTACCTAGCATATAATAGGATCTCTACCTCACTTTCCTGGGGTCATTCTATCCACCTAAGAGGCAGTTGGCATAATGGTCAGGGGTGCGCAGGCTCTAGGGCCAGGCTGCTTGGGCTTGTACCCCAGCCCTCCTGTCTAACTGTGTGCATCGGGGAAACTTCTTTAGTGCCCATGTGCCGTGATTGCCACATCTGTACATGAGGGAATGATAACATTAGTACCTTCCCAGCGGGCTCGTTTAGAACAGTGCCTAAAATAGGGGTGGTGATAGTAGTGACTCTCCAGCAGTCTCCACACAGCAATCACTCTGGATCTGTTTAAAATATAATCCAGGTCTTAAAAAAAAAAAAAATCCAGGTCTTGACCTGTGCCTTCCCACCTCACCTACACCGACTGCCTATAGCTTTTACTGTAGAACGTGAGCCCATGAAATGCCTCACATGATCCGTCTCCTGCCGCCTCTCTGAGGTGAATGGTCCTCGTCTTGGACCATTCTTCCTCCTTGCTCACTGTGTTTGTGCCACACTGACTTATCTGGTCCTCAGACAAGCTCATTCCTGCCTCAGGGCCTTTGCATTTGCTGTCCCCTCTGCCTAGAATGTTCTTCCTCCACATCTTTACATGGCTGGCTCCTTCATGCCATTCGGGCCTGAGAGCAACCTTCCTGACCACATATTCCTTCATCTCACCCTCTTTTATTCAAATCATAGCACTCATTAGTACTTAATACTCTCTTGTTTATTTTCTGCCTCCCCCATGAGGCTGTCAGCTTCATAAGAGCAATGGCCTTGTCTGTCTTACTTACCACTGCGTTCCAGAACTTGGAGTAGTGTCAGAAGCATGATAGGTGCTCAGCTCCTATGTGTGAGAACGAATGATAGTGAAGAAGGCAGATGTTAAATTTCAAGGTTGACAGCTTCCAAGAGCAGTAACTACCACTTAGGTGCCATTTCCTATGTGTCAGATGTGTTCTAAATACTTGGTGCATAGGTGCTTACTTAATCTTAGTTACCTCACAGGGTCCTCTCTGTGATTTTCTCCATCTCACAAAGACACCGACACACAGCAAGGTGTGCTGACTCCCACAGCTAATAAGAAGTACAGCAACTTGAACCATAGCCCTGTACTGAAAGCAGAGCATCCCAGGAGTGACAACCGGGGACCCCATTCAGACTGTGGGTTCAAGGGCAGGCAGCTTCTTATTGGGCCTCACAAAAAGTCTATGGTTAGATATTGTCCCCATTTTATAGGTGTGGAAACTGAGGCTCAGTGTAAGAGATCTGTCCAGGACTATGTCACTAAGAAATGGCAGCCAGGACTTGAGCCCAAGCCCGGTGGCCTGTCATTTGCACCATGCAGAGTGTCCCACGGGCGACATCAAGCCAAGAGCTCCAAAGGCCTCGGGAACAAGGGCTTCCTTTTATTTTCCTTCCACTTTGGCAGCTCCTGGGTCCCCTGTGCACTGTTTCCTCTTCTCATCTCACAGGCCATCCTGTTCACGCCATCGCTTTCCACACTGCTGCCCTGATTCAGGTCTCCGTGGACAGTGCCCAAGGTCGGGTCCTGGGATAAAAATGAAGCTGCCTCTGCCCTCTATGTTGGCCGATCAGGGACAGAGCCAACCCTGCCTGGCTCTACAGGTGTGACAGGGAGGGGGCTGAGAGCTCACAGACAGGTGGCGTGCTCCCTTCTGCCAACACAGAAGGTCCTGCGGGCTTCGTCAGGCTTGAGGAGTGGGGTGTTGGCATCCGCAGATGGACCAGCCGGACAGAGGGGCACGTGTGCGCGCTCTCCTGGGCATGGCAGCACCAGCTGCTTTCCCTGCTCGTCCTGGGCCAGGAGAAAGGAGCTAGAAACAAAGAGCCCTGCCCTGCGGCTCCCTGGCGCCTGGGTGCTGCCTTATTGTCCTATTTTTTCTGCCAAACCATCAAAAACATGTTTGGATCTAAAATTTTGTATCGTTTAATCCCTCCTCAGTATGAAAACAAAGATAGCAGTTGTCATGCTATTAAAGAAAAAAGGCTCTGTTTATAGAAGGACCATGTGATTTAATTTTATGCATGCGTGTATACGTATATCTCTATATATTCTCTCTCATTTTGGTTCTAGGCGTGTCCCTATTCCTAACTATGTGACCAAATAAGAACCTTTTCATTTTGGAGAAGAAAATATAACTTGTCTAAATGAGATTGCATCACCTCGTGTGGTGGGACGGTGGAGAAAAGAGCACCTTCCTATCTAATTCAAACTCTAGCCTCAGTTTCCTCCTATGTCAAATGGGGATAATCATACCTATGTTACATTATTTTTGTGGGGATTAAATGAGGGATAGTGGGAACTGTAAAGCTTTCCACAGTGGCTGTGCATTATTCATATAGGGAGATTTTTTTTTAGGGAAAAAGGTATGTCCTTAACATATGCATGAAGTGGTAATCCTGAGGAGTGTGAAGTTATGCTGATAGGAGTTTCAACAGACGGGAAGAAGCACGCTGGGCTCCTGCTACACGAGAGGCAGCCTACAGGCTCATCTCTATAATCTTTATAACCACACTGTTTTATTGTTTTCTGTGACTTACAAATGAAGGAACTGAGGCTGAAGGTGTGACATCTTGGCTTTGCCCCTTACCCTCTGTGTGACCACAGACAAGTTGCTTAACCTCTCTGAGCCTCAGTTTCCTCTTGGTAAAACGTATCCGCGGTCGGCAGAAAGAGCAAGTCATAGGTACAGCCAGCCACACTCTTCTTACCCCGGGCAGGAGTACGTTGGGTGGTATGAGATGGCGTGCAGCTTTTCTCTTCTAGCATCTCTTTGATGGATGGCAGTCAGCTTTGGATTAAGCCAAACCAACTCAGAATGGACTCCTTGGTACTAATGACGGCCGAAAACCCATAGGGCAGTACTACATTGAGGGTGAGGTCCATGGGCAGTGGCCTTTTAACTCAGAAAACTGAGTCCAGGGAGGAGAAATGGGTGCATTCTTTGCCCCCTGGCCACCCCCGACTCTGCCTAAGCACCAGGAAGCCAAGCACCATCCCAGGTGTTAGGACAATAGGAGCATGCAGAGTTTGCTCAAGAAGATATTTGTGGGATTGAATTACCATAGTGGCATAATACCATTCGGGCATGAGCTGGATGTTCTCATCTATACTGTAGGAAACAGGTGCTCATTTTCCTGTGTGCAGATGACATGATTATGTCGTCTTTTTTTTTTTTTTTTTTTGGTTATGTCGTCTTAAACTGGGCAAACTTTGATGATAAACTCTGGTCCAACCTAATGACAGAAAGAAAGGCCACGGATGGCCTGTTTTAAAATCAAAGTTCTGGGCAGCCCAGGTGGCTCAGCAGTTTAGCAACTGCCTTCAGCCCAGGGCCTGATCCTGGAGGCCTAGGATCAAGTTCCACGTCCGGCTCCCTGCATGGAGCCTGCTTCTCCCTCTGCCTGTGTCTCAGCCTCTCTCTCTGTGTCTCTCATGAATAAATAAATAAAATCTTAAAATAAAATAAAATAATAAAATAAAATAAAATAAAAGTTCTTACCAGAGATTTTCACCTTCACTCCTCACCTCCCAAATATGATTAGCCAAAGTTCTGCTCTGGTTCTGGTTCTGGTTCTTAAAGTGTGGTCCCAGAACCAGCAGCGTGAGCGTCACCTGGAACTTGTTGGAAATGCAGATCCTTAGCCCTGCCCCCAGCAGTTGTGTCTTATTAAGTTGGCTGATGCGGAGGGGGGGGGTATGTTGTGATGCTTGCTGAAGCTTGAGCACCACTGCTGTGCTCCTCTTTGGAAGCCTTCCTTGGCATTCCTCCTACGATAAGGTGCCTTAGCTCTCATTGCATGGTTGGAAAGTCAATACATTCCGTACCTAGGTTTATATTTGCCAGAGAGTTACATTGTTCAAAGCCAAAAGTTCTCTGACCCCTGCTATAGTTTTTTCACAAAGTGGCTGTTTGGTTGAATTTCCAAGTCAAAGTCACTGTGGCTACACCCAATGATGTGGGACTCTGGGTCTCAGTCACCCATTTATCTTTGTTCAAGACTAGACCCCAGAATTTTTCAGGAGTGTCAGCCCAGCCACCAGACGTCTGTCTGCCCTCTCCTGGTTTTAGAATGGGCCCCTCTATTTTTCCTAAGAGATTCCCATCATACCCTCAGCCCATTGCCTGTTAGTTGTTTTTTTTTTTTTTTCTTTTTTTTTTTTTTTTGCCTGTTAGTTTTTAAGAGCTCATCTGTTTTATCGGGGGCACTGCCTCAGGCCACTGATGGAACTTCCTTCTCTGCATAGGCCTATAGAAAGCTTTTGGGGCGGGCGGTGTCCCATCTACAGCCCGTGGCCAGGCCCATTTACCTGGCACAGTTGGGCCTAATCTCACTCGGTTTTATATTCTTTTCCTTTCATTATTTTCCCCTTTGTCCTTATTTTTGCAACTACAGACTCTTACCTTGTATTTTATGGATCTTTAATGACTGCCTTGGTAAATTTTGGAAGGAAACAGTTTCAACAAATAAATCTGAGTACTTTTTGTTATGGGCTACCACAGATAGGAAACATTAGCATTTAATAAGGGATGCCCTTTAATTGGCTGCGTGCACAGGAGTCTGTGATTCCAAACGCCACGCACCCTTGTCGTATCAGATGGACAGGGATTTGGTTCAGACTTCTTTAAACCTACAAAACCAATCCGTCTGAGAGTTAGACAGCCAAATGAAGGAAATGTAAGCATGCTGGACAGAAGGCCCTTTAGCAGGTGGTAAGTCAGCCTGCTCCAAAATCTATTCATAAGTCAACAGCTCCAGAAATGGAGCAGTGGAGATTGTGGCCCGAGCACTCTCCTCACGAGGTTAGAAATGCCCTAGAAACACTTCAAGAACCTGTCTCATTTCCCAGCAGTAGTGGATACGATGCAATTCTGTTGCTTGAGTGATGCACTTTCCTTAGTTTATAATTTAAAGCCCAAATGTACTTTAAAAAAGTAGATATATAAGGTTTTCATAGATCCACCTACTTCCGAATTAAGTATAACTCAGGTTGCCTTGGGTACTGTTCTCAGGGAAGTCACATTGAGTGTCTCATTTGCTCAGTGGGTGCCCTTAGGCTTGTGGCAGGTGGAAAGCCCAGCCCAGCCCCTTCCTCCCCATTCTGCAGACACAAAAGGGACAAGAGGGTACTTACACCCACCAGTTAGTGAACATCCATTGCATGCCAGTCAGGCACTGTGCCAGGCACTTAACATATTTTTGACTTTTTCTCTAATCTTTACAAGGCTAGGAAAGGCAGGATTATAGTTTTCTATTGTGCAGTGCTAGATGTTCATCCCATCTTCCACTTGGGTAAGAATTTGAAACACGCTGGAACTTTTAAAAATTTGAGCATGAAAATGGGTGGCAAGAAAAACTTTATATGGAAGCGAGACTTTATTGTTCTTGCTGAACCCCTGCTGCCCAAGAATCAAGGATGATAACGAATATAAAAGCACTTTGTACTATTACACTTTTGTACAATGTAAGAGACTTTTACATAAATGGCATTTCAGTGGCTCGACAACTGTAAGGGTCTCTAATTAATAGGGAATCGTGTTTGAGCTATTGTCTAAAGCGAGAGAATCGAGAAGTTATCTTTGTTAGGTCGAGGCAGAAGCCCCTCCAGAAGTCTGCTGGAATTAGAGCAGCATGTGTCAAAAATGGACCTTCACATCTATGGAACACAGATAATTGGGGTGGAAAGTTGGCACATTAGCACCTAGTTAGGCTCTTGGACTGGAGCAGTATTTGAAGTCTGTAGATCCAGTTCTTAGAAATGCTGCAATGAGAAGGAAGGAGGTGAAATGTGTTTCTCGAGTGATTGACATAGAACTTTCTGGGGGGTGATGCTCTAATCATTGTATTAATGGAAGGGAGCAAGTGTGTGCTTGACATGGACTATTTCTCCAAATAGATCTTGTCCCCTGCTGCCTCCTCTCTGCTTCTTGCTCTAATTTGCCAGATGTCTTCCTCCCTCCCACGCCTCTACACTTTTCCGCCAATGGTGAGCTGTCATTGATCGGCTCCCTCTCAACAATGACTCTTGGTCACATACCCTGATGTTACCCTAGTAGCCCGGTGCCCCTCCCTAGCTCTGATGTGCAAAGCAGGGGGCTTCTCAAGCTGGTTTCTTGGGCTTATTCCAGATCCTTGAACGTGTATGGGAGAGACTCGTCTAGTTTTAAAGAGGTGCTAAGACAGATATCCTCGTGTGGGAAAACAAAAAAAACACAAAACCTTGTCTAGCCTTAAGAAAAAAATGAAGCCTAGAACCAGTCTTCCCTTGGTACATGTTACCATCAGGAGGCAATGCCCTCTTCAAGCATTTTTAGAGAAGGGGAGCTTTCAGAAAGCCTTTGCTTCCCAGTGACATAGCTATGGCTCTTCTGTGTGTTCCTCTAAATTCATTTTGATTTGGTTTTGTCTAATTCATTTCATTTTGAAGTAAATTTGCCCCTACTCACAGGTGGATCTGTGTAAAGAATGTCTCATTGCAAGTTAGTGGTTACAAACTCTGCTTAATTAATCCTTCAGCTCTAGCTGAAGGCAGAGCCACGGATCATGCAGGCCCTGGGTTTTCCCTCCCTGCTGCTTTTAAAACCCTCCTCACCCAGCGGGAGAAGAAGGACTGTGGAAATCGTGGGCGGGGGAATATCGATCCCACTGCCTTTTTGCTACGTCTGAGCAAATCTGCTGGCAAATGGAGCAGGTGAGATCGTGGACTGAAAGTGTGGGGCTTTTCTATAGGGTATGCAGTCTCTCATCCCCTTCAGGGCGGGTGAATCAAGAACGAACATAGGAATTTTACTTTGGAACAGAGGGCTTCAGATTTATGTAATTAAGAAAAAAAAAATGTGTTTCGGCTTTTCGGATTTCACACTGAGGGTAATGACCGTGTGTCTTTGTTTTCTCCTTTCCCTCGTCTGTGGGCACGTAGCACGTGTGGAGCGAGAGCGAGGACTGCCTGCCTTTCTTGCAGCTAGCACAGGATTACATCTCCTCCTGCGGCAAGAAGACGCTCCACGAAGTCTTGGAAAAAGTCTTCAAGTCGTTCAGACCTGTAGGTGCCTGCTTGGCTTCCAAAGCCACCTTGTTTTCTACAGTGATTGTGCTTGGAATAACAGGGATGGTGGGGAAAGTGGGCAAAACCTGGGATGACTAATTGTTTTTCTCTTGTCTGCTTTGTGGCTTAAAGATAGCAGCGAAGGGAAGGAGGGTGAGGGCGGAGAGGGAGGGGGAAACGGGATGTGACACAGCTGTTTGTTGCAGGAATGATGGTTATTTCTAGCATCACTTGAGTTGAGAATCTCTGATAGGGTGGGAAGCAGACAGAGCCCTGATGAGACTCCTGAGTATTCCTGTTCTTGTCCAGTGGACTTAGGGCCAGAATGCTTGGAAGTGCTATGGAGGTTCTCTTCTATGGGGCCTGTATTTGGGGAGCTGCCAAAGGGCTGTTCTACAGGATGTGCCTCCATAGCTCTGGGTATGGAGAAGGATGAAACGATCCCGGGGTTCTGTTCTCTTTTTATAAACTATCTTATGTAGGGAGCTTGCTTTCCGTACCACCTCCCCACCCGCCACTCTGCCCCAACCCAGGTTTTAGGAATCTGTATATCCTCGCCTAGCAGTTTCTTTTCATTCTGGCTGAAAAACATGTAAGGCGAATTCTCACCCCTATTTTGAAGATTACCTATTTCCCTTTATCTTTAGTGGGAGATAAAGTCACATTACTGGTGTTGTGACACTTCCCCTGAGTTCAGTTCCCTTGCCTACCATAAATACTCTGCACCTTCAATGATATTTGCTCTAGGATTTTTTTCTCCCAATTTTTAAAAATAGTGTCTACTTCTCTGCTGCGATTTTCAAGCTTGCCTTTCAGTTCTCTGAACATAGTAGGCATGATTGCATGGTTGTCTAAGAGAGTATGTCTGACATTCCAGTATTTCAAAGTTTGCAAGTCTGTTTTGTCGTCTTTTGTTTCAACCGTGTCTCACTCTTGGTATCTTGTTTCTTTGCGTGTTGGATTATCTCTGTGTGCTGGTTATGGTGTTGAAAATGTGTATATAGGAGTAAATTGAGGCCTGAGATGATGGTACCTTCCTCCAGGGGGGGTTTTGATCTGCTGCTGCTGGGGCTGGGGAGCCCTATCAATCTGAGACCACCTTCAAACAATTTGAGTAAGACTTGTGGTTCTTAGAACTCTCCAGGTGATGAAAAGCCAGGCTTCTTGTTTGATTTCTTTTAGTTTATCCTTGTCCTGAGAGCTGTCTTAGTCCATTCGGGCTCCTGTAACAAAATATCAGAGACTGGGAAGCTTATCAACAACAGACATTTATTTCTCACAGGTGCAGAGGCTGGGAAGTCCAAGATCAAAGTGCCAGTAGATTCAGCGTCTGGCAAGGGCCCACTTCATAGACAGACAGCTGTCTTTTCACTGTAACCTCACGTGGTGGAAGGAGAGGGAGGTATCTCAAGGGCCTGTTTTATAAGGGCTCTAATCCCATTCATGACCTAATCCCCTCCTGAAGACCCCATCTCCTAATAATGTCTCCTTGTCCCCTCAAGGGTTAGGATTTCAGCATATGACTTTTGCAGGGACACAAACATTCAGAAAATAACAGGTCTTTGGATCTCAGCTCAAAGTGGATAGCTTGGGTGTGTAGGTGGCTCAGTTGGTAAAGTGTCTGCCTTCAGCTCGAGTCGTGATTTGGGGTGCTGGGATCGAGCCCCACATTGGACTTCCTGTTCAACTGGGAGCTTGCTTCTCCCTCTCCTTCCTGCTCATGCTCCCACTATCTTTCTGTCTGTCTCTCTCTCAAATAAATAAATAAAATCTTTAAAAACCCAAAAAGGGTAGGGATGATTTATCCCAGTCTGCTCGTTTGGAAGACTCTGAGTTTGACTTTTCAGTCCCTCTGTAGCTCTTAGAGTAGGCCAGGAATGCAGTAAAGTTTCTAGCTGTTTCTTTCTAGGTCAACAGATGCCCTCAGGACAAAAGCAGCTTTTTATGTTTACCTCTCTAGGTTCTAATTCTTCAATATATTTAAGAAAGCATTTTTCAAATTTAATCCAGCTTTTTTAGTTCTCTGAGGAAGAGTTGATCCCAATCACTCAATCCACCATTACAAGAAATAGAATTTCAGTGGCTTTTCTCACTCTCTCTGATTTGTATCATTTGTCCAGCCAATTCCTATTTTATTTCTTCATTTTCCAAGCCTGGTTGGCTCATTCACAGTAGACTCATGACTGGAAAGTACTGATCTATTCCTCATTCATTCTGTATATATTTACTAAGTACCCAGCTACTGTATTCCTAAGACTCGATTCAAACAGATGAAAATCTTATCCTTATATTCTGGTAGCAGTGGGAGAACAAGATAAATAAGTCCAGCACATAATGTATTAGGAGTAAGTGCCAAGCAGAAAAAATAGGTAAGTCAGGGAATGGAAGTAAGAAGTGTCAGAAGTACTAGAATTTTTTTATTGGGGGAGCAGTAGAGGCTTTGCTAAGAAGTTCGCATTTGAGTACAACTTAAAGCATGAATCGTGAGGAAATCTAGGGGAGAGCTTTCCAGGTAGAGGCCGGGGAAAAGGTGAAGAGTGGGGAGAAGGATATCGGTGTTTCGGGAAGGAGGAGGGCTGGTGTGGCCAAAGTAGAAGGGTGGTAGGGAGGAGCAAGAGAGGAGCCTGAGGGATTTCAGGGGTTTGCAGGTCACAGAAGGATCTGGGTTTTACTCTGGTGTGACAGGGAGCTATTGGAAGAGTTTGAGCACAAGAGGGATCTGACTTCACATTTTAAACCCCCATCCCCGTGACCAGGTGAGAATAGGCCTCAAAAGGGGCAGGTGGGAGCACGGGGACCAGTGTGGAGCCTGTTGGGTCGTTCCGGTGAGGGGATGAGGGTTGGAGCAGGGTCATCACAGTGAAGGCAGCATGGAGGGGGTAGATTCTAGAAATGGCCTTGAAAGTAGATCAACTAGAGTTGCTGGTGGACCAGAAGCCGGGAGGGAGAAAAAGAGAGAAGGCAGGGGTGAACTAGGTTCCTTGGCCACGCAATGAGGGGAATGGCGCTGTCATTTATGGAGATGGGGAGGCTGCAGGAGCGGCTGGGGGATCATCTTACCAGGAGCTCAGTTTGAGGGCATGTCAGTGTTAGAAATGCCATCAGACATCCAAGCAGAGATATGAAAGTAGGCAAACATTTTTAAGACATTCAACCACCAATACCCCCACCCCCAGCAACTGAGTGGCTCAGTTGGTTAAGCAGCTGGCTCTTGGTTTCGGCTCAGGTCACCATCTTGCAGTTAGGGGATCCAGCCCAGCCTCCGGCTTTGTGCTCAGCAGGGAGCCTGCTTCAGATTCTCTCTCCTTCTTCCTCCTGCTCACGCTATCTCAAATAAATAAATAAAATCTTAAAAAAAAAAAAAAAAACAAACCACCCTGAGGCCACCCACCCCCGCCCCACCACATCTTAGCCAGAAAAAAAAAAATCTATTAGCACACGATACTCAACTTTGCAGCTGGTGTCCTCGCATGGGGTTCCATTCATGAACCTGCCACCTGCTTTTCTTACTGCGCCTGTTCTCCTGGATCGCAAGCAAAATACCTGCAGAATTGGCCTCCCTGGAGAAGGCGAGCTCTCGCCAGAACTCATTTTGCTGTTTCTCTTTACCAAGAAGACCTGGCCGTAGTTTGGCAACCAGGCAGCCACAGTAAATGGAAAGAAAAACACACGCTCCAAAGAAATCCAGATGCACAGCTGAAAGCAAGTGGATTGTTTGAACATTTTCCTTCAGATTCCTTTTTTTTTTTTTTTAAGATTTTATTTATTCACGAGAGACACACAGAGAGGCAGAGACACAGGCAGAGGGAGAAGCAGGCTCCCTGTGGGGAGCCGGATGCAGGACTCGATCCCAGGACCCTCGGATCATGCCCTGGGCCAAAGACAGACGCTCAACCACTGAGCCACCCAGGTGCTCCTTCTTTCAGATTCTGCTGCTGCTGTGCCAGAGACACACAGGCTCAATCTGATGTTGTCGTTGGATTTCGAGGGTTCCTTTCTAAAGCAGAACCTTACATCCAAGGTGGGGCCCTGCTCCCAGTACAGCAGCCCATTGCTCTTGACATTTTTATGTACCAGGCACCCTCTGGCAGGGCCTTTTCTGCCCCTCAGGTAGAGTTGGGTGGGAAGCACCTTCTCAGAGTCAGGGAAGGTGGAGTGCAAGCAGGGCTTTGGGTTTCCCTCAGCCAAGATGGGTCCCAGGTTGGATGATTCAGGGAGTGTTAGAGACCACAATGAGGGGCTGCTGGATGTCCCTGGGAAACTTTCACCCTCTTCCCCTCCACTCAGCGGTGTGGTTCTTCCCACGACTGCTTTCTGTTGGTTTTACATAAGGGAGCTTTGTGTTTATTTTTTTTTAATTTTTTTTTATTTATTTATGATAGTCACAGAGAGAGAGAGAGGCAGAGACACAGGCAGAGGGAGAAGCAGGCTCCATGCACTGGGAGCCCGACGTGGGATTCGATCCCGAGTCTCCAGGATCGCGCCCTGGGCCAAAGGCAGGCGCCAAACCGCTGCGCCACCCAGGGATCCCCAAGCTCTGTGTTTAGAAATAAGATACAGCGAGGCGCCTGGGTGGCTCAGTCGGTTAAGCACCTAACACTTGGTTTCTGCTCAAGTCATGATCCCCAGGGTCCTGGGATGGAGCCCTGCATCGGGCTCCCTGCTCTGCGAGGAGTCTGCTTCTCCCTCTCCCTCTCCATTTGCCTGCTGCTCCCCCTGCTAATGCTGTCTCTTTCTGTCAAATAAATAAATAAAATCTTAAAAAAAAAAAAGGAAAGAAGACCCAGCAAAAGGGCTTGTTGCTGTGGGGGTTGAAAGTGTCTGTTGAGAGCACTTGGGTGGCTCAGTAGGTTAACTACCTGCCTTTGACTCAGGTCATGATCCTGGGGTCTCGGGTTAGAGCCGGCATCAAGCTCCCTGCTCAGTGGGGAGTCGGCTTCTCCCTCTCCCCCTGCGCCTCACTCCTGCTGTGCACGTGTGTGCACACTCTCGCCCTC